GATAGCAATTTGTTAGACAACTTTAAACATGATTATAGCATAAAAACCATTATACTTGCTTGATAAAACGCTACAAATCTTTTATCGCTAAAAAAAAGCTTTGTCCGAGGAGTCTAGAGTGCATATTGGCTTTTCAATTCCTAATCATCTTACTTGTTTTTGGTTAGTCAAACTTTTTAATGCAACAAGTATGGTACACGATGGCACAATGTCGTTATCATCACGTGACGACGGCAACGATTGGATTAAATTTCAATTTTAGTTTTTTATTTGCAAAGTATTTCGCACCAACAATACTTAACCCGCGTTTAATTTCCTAAAAAATGAAACATTACACTAAATACAATTTCTATGGGCTTTCTCAACTTACTTAGGTTTAAAATACGCATGCACAGTTCGTTTAAAACCATATGCTCATCACTTTGAGAGACTTCTGCATAATCAGCTAAGTTTATCTTCATTACAACTTCAATTTACTCTACTTTGTAATAATTGAGCTTCAGTTAGTTTCACAGACTGCTATAAACACATTTTAGCTACTTTTTTTCTTTACTACAGGTTTTTATTCTTTGTTTTTTCTAGTTTCTTTGTTTCAACTCGTAAAACGTGAGTAGTTAGGGCAGGGACTGCGCGTCTTGCTGCTAGAGCGTATTACACTCCTGTCGACCTCAGATAATAGGGAGGGAAGAGGTAGAGACAATGACGTTTGAGTTCTACAAAGTGTCACCAAAGGGAAAGAGTAGAGACGATGACGTCATAGTTACACAAAGTGTTACCAGAGGGATTGTTGCTAGGCCACCATGACAGGCAAACATGATGTCATAGTTCCACGAAATGGATTAACCTGTTTCAACTTGTAATCAATGGCTAGATTTCATTATGATCTATAGTCGGTTTATGTATGAAACACTAATTCATTAATTCTATGTTTAATCATACTTTTTACATTCCCTGACATTTTATACGTAATTCAATTATTGTTATTATCCACATAATTATGTTGTTGACAAATCACTTATTTTCCTGAAAAGGACGTTTATTGAAATCTCTAAATAATTTAACATAAAACTTACTATTTCACTAGCTTGTCTTTATGTTATCATCTAACTTATTACTAAGAGTAGCGTTTCTATAAAAAAAGAGGATGACGAGTTCATTGTCTCAACGTTCCAACAACTACTAGATTCAATTACATGTAAAACTATTATTGATTTAACATAATTAAAAGTTCTCTACAAAACATTTATTTTTATCACTTTATTAATCATCTCACAATAAAGATTTAGCAATCTGATATACATAAAAGGACACGTCAATTAAGGATGTATTTGCATGAAAACGTTTTGCAACAAAATCATAAACAAACATATCATTAATATCTTTGTAAGATCCAAATTTAGATAGGAGTTTTAGTTCGACTCAAGTTAACAACGATAATAACAGTAACATATATAATATTATCCACACATACGAATACTGTCCTTGCAGTACATTTTTGTTGTGAGTCCACATTCTACAGTTCTTCTTGATAAATATTCTCATGTTGAGATTATGTGGAGATAGTCATAATGGTTCAAATATTTTCCCTTTCTCATCTCGACCAAAATATATATACAGACCCAGATAAACTACTTTTTTCTGAGCCTACTAACTGAAATGTTACATGATTAATTTGCATTGAATCATTTATTCATGTATGTAATGACATGTCTTTAGTACGAGGTATCATGTTAATTCAATTTGTTTTCCCATATTGTTCCACAAGTGAAATATATAAACTTTAACTGAAATAGTAATATGAACATAATTTACAAAATAACTGTATGAAAGTTAATCATGTACTTTCTAAGTTAAATGTTTCAGTATCGGTGACGATGGTTTATTTAGAAACGTGAATAATCAGCTTATGGAGTTTAATTGAATAGAAAATATACAATAATTGTACGTTAACTGAGATGTTCCATAAAATATTGTGAATACACATTTAGTGTTTTGTATCACTATATAAAGTGAAAGAACTATGTTTACTGACTTTTAAATTCAGATAGAATGTTCTACATTCAAATGAAAGTAATATCTCTTTTAGCTAACATAAAATGTTAAAAGCTTTTCTAAACTTGATGTCCTTCTCTGTATATTTTATAAAACCAAAGTTTATCCAGCCATTCAGTGGTCCTGAATATCAAACCCGTGATTCAAATCAAGAAGCAAATGTATAGACAACGAGGTAACAACAGTAATTTTTATTTACTAGATCCTTTAAACTCAACTGAATTATAAAGCTAAATATGAAAATAAACGCCCTTTTAAGGACAAATCATTTGACACATAGCAACACTGATTTTCGTTGTTATTGTAACATTGTTTCATATCCGTTACTTATAATTTTTGAGTCTATGGAACTTATAACATGAGGTAATTAAACTGAATTTTGGCCAATTGTTCACTATCGTTTATAAACCATATAAAACCTTACACACCGAGTTGGAATGAGTATAATCTGTATGAAAGCTAATCCAGTAAAATTATAAACTATGACGATTATAGTACCTGAAGGTTTGTTAAGTATGCATGATAGTATATTGGATTATGACGAAATGTGAGTTTCATATAAGAACACTGTATTGTATAATTCACGTTACCAATAAACTTCGAAGTAATCACTTGATTTATAATTAAAGGTCCTTATATGCATTTGGAAAATTAATAAGTTTAAATGAAAGATGCGAAAACATAATTTCTGGTTTGTAGAAATGAAAACGTTACTTAGTTTAGACGAACACAAGGTCAACTTGCTTTCAGCTCTTATGTCTCAGTGACCACCCCTTTGTATGAGTGACCATGTGGTGGCCTTTGCATTTCCTAAGACAGCAGTCAGACAGTCTCAAAGTTTTATGTATAGAATTTCAAGTGAATGTTGCTATTTTAAATAATAGTAAAGTTAAACAGTAAGTCGTTCATTGATTATATTTTGTTTTAACAAAATAAGCACTCTATTTTAGGACGATAACAGTAAGTTATTGGTTATAATAACTGCTTCATTCGATACTATCACAAGATTTGTGTATGCGAAAGAAATTTGGAGGTATGTTTGATAATGATCAACTACCTGATCATGTGGCAAAACAACGTTATATCGTCAATCTGGATCTGAGTCATAAACGTAGTAGCCACTGGGTCTGTATTTACTTTGGTAGAGATGAGAAAGTAGAATGTTTTGACCAATCAGAACTGCCTCAACATAAGAAAATTTATTGAGAAGTACTGTCGAATGTGGACAATATTGTATATATATTATGCTTATTATTATTGTCGACATGTGTCAAAATAAAACTCCTGTCTAAATTTGAATCCCACAAAGATATTAATGATATGTTTGCTCATGATTTTGTCACAAAACGTTTTCTTGTAAATACGTCCTTAATAGACATGTCTTTTTATGTACATCAGGCTGCTAAATCTTTATTGTGAGATCTATATAAATATAATAGTACTGTCTGTTGTATGTCCATGTAACTACTTCACAGGATGTGGATGGATCTTCATCAAATTTGTTATGGAGGTTTATATGGTACATGGGGAGATACAGATTTTTTCCCTTTTTTACCACTACTTTGCCCCCTGTTGATGGACCTTCACTAATTTTGGCATGATGGTGTGTTGGGTCCACGCGGAGATAGATGCAAAATTGCAGTTTCACATTTTGTATTTTGCAGTTTTTATGGGCGTTTTTGACAATTATATATAAGGGAAGCAATTTTTAATTAATCGTGAATTTACATAACTTCCACCCAGGGGACAGGTACTCCAGCTAGTAATTATTAAAGTGATACAAAAGAAATATTGTGTTGAGAACTTTTTATTACGTTAAATCAATAATAGTTTTACATGTAATTGAATCTGGTAATTATTGACACGTTGAAACAATGAGCCCATCATTCTCTATTCATAGAAACACCAGAAACTTAGTAATTAGTTATACAGAGACCATAAAAACAAACTAGTGAAATAGTAAGATTGTCGTAAGTTTGCATGTTAAATAAGCGTTCTTTTCCGGACAATAATTGAATTATGTATAACAAAGTCTGGAAATGTAAAAAGTATGATTAGATGTAGAATTAATGAATTAGTATTCTTATATATAAACCGACTGTAGATCATAATGAAATCTAGCCATTGATTACTTGTTCAACACATTGATCACTTCATGAGACTATGACGTCATGTTCGACTGTAATGGCGCCCTAAATGCGCCCTCTGTGTAATAATGACGTCATCGTCTCTTGTGTGGCGCCCTCTTGCAAAAAGACGCGAGGTTCTTGCCCTAACTACTTACGTGTCATAAACTGAACCTCATAACTGTTTCATACTCTGTACGTTGTTATAAATATCATTACTTCAATGTTTACTTTATGTTTAGTTTTATTATATAAAGTTATGTCTGTTTGTCTGACTGCGTAAATTTTTTTCAGTTAGACCAGAATTTATCAATCTAACACATTATGCCTCCAAGAAAGCATGGCGTGCGTGCGTGAAAATGATAGAATAAGGCAAATTCAAGTGAAGGGAATGAAAACTACAAAAATATTTTTTGCGGGTTGCGGCTAGTATTAAATAATTCAAAGAAACTGTTACTTTTAAAGGACAACTCTCGACGGCTCTTGCACACAAAGCTAATGGTATACTTTATAGATTTCCAAAATGCAAGCAATATCTGCATCTGTTTTTTAACTGAAAGTGATTTCAATTTAATTTACAATTGCCGCAGATGCATCTTGATAGACGATATTGGAAGTACGTCCACCTGGGGCATGGATAAATAGGCTGCGAGAAGATCTGACTCCTGAGCAGACTACATATAGTTTTTAAACTCCAAGGATAGTGTTCATAAAAAAGAAAAAATATAAGAAAGAACGCAGTTCGCGAGTCAAGCGCAAAAAAAGCAATGCCGAGTGGACGGGCGAGCGACCCTTAGCAAAGAAATACTTCTTTTAAAGAAATATAACCTTAAAAGCAAAAGAAATATAACCTTAAAAGCAATAAATAATGCCAAAACATAAACAAAATAAAGCACAGACAGCTGGAATGACCCAACAAATTTTTGCAGGAGTTGTTTTCTTTCCAACATAGAGCTCCAACTTAGAGATAATAAGCATTGTTTTGAAAATTTTACATTGTATTCACTGTTACTATGGTAATCATTAAAACAAAAAAATGTTCATAAGAATAACAATGGAACTTTGATGACCCGTGGGGCGGAGCCCTAAGGTGAATTCAAAAAATCCAAGTAGCCTATAACCTTCTCATGCATGTATAGAACAAAGAAAAAAAGTTAAAATCGAAATCAGTGCACCCGTTTCCCTGTGAAAAGCGAACAAAATCACGTCCAAAACCGCACCAAAGCAGGTTTTTGAGCGGCCGCCATTTTCTTTCCAAAAGGCGTATGACAGTTTCAAGTAGCCTATAACTTTCTTACACATCTATAAAACAAAGAAAAAAAGTTTCATCGAAAACGGTGCACTCGTTTTCCAGTGAAAAGCGAACAA